CAACCGTCGCTTCTCCCTTATCTTCCTGAAGAACATTTGATCATTCTTTTGTAATTTCTCCCGAATACCAGCTAATCTGCTCCTGTGTATCGGTTCTTGATGTGTCAGGATCCGTGGGATTATTTCCAGTTGTATCTCATGCCTTGTCTCTTCTGGATATTTGTCCGATACGTTGACAACTTCCACATTAATATCACTAAGAACGTTTCCTTCATTATCTAGTGAAATATTTAACCCCTTCTTTAAGAGATCCGTAGTTTCAGCTTTAAGAGGGATTGAAGATAGGTTTACTACCTTAGTCCTATCGTCGTCTGTACCAGTTGATGTTTTCATTAGAGAACCATCAAAATGTGCCCGGGTTGGCTTGGTTTTGCCCTATCTTATCCTCCCATAGCTAAGCAATTTCTTGTCATGCCGCTTATTCATCAGATCCCGGACCCTCTGTGACTTCTGATCCGTCGTGCTCTGGAGCTTTTGAAAACCATCCGAAATGAGAAACCGGTCTATCTCCTTCATTAATCTAGACTTGAGATCTATCAACGTAAATAGCTTACGCCTCTCAGTCTCGTAACTTTCCTCTAATTTCTGGATAGAGGCATGATAAAGTATTTCATTAACTGAGTCATAGACTTGATATTACGGATAGACGCAGGACAGACGCGAGGGAGACTAAAGCTAGTTGGCTGACAGTAGGCCTGTTTTACCATAGACGTAGTCCATAAAGCAAAAACTTGATCATGAGAATTACTCGGGGTTTTTAGCCCTAAGCTAGTGTCCCAGAAGCAAAGTGTACGAAATAACGCCTCGAGTAGTACAGGTGCGGTGGAATGGGTCGAGTGAAATAATTTAACCAGAGAGATAGCAGACGGATCCTACGGTGCAAGAGGGAGACTCTGATAAAACCTATGAGAAGATGATTGTGAAATAATATGGCAGACTCTGATCAACATTCCCAACACAAGAGGGTAGGGGGGGGTGAGAACGCCAGTTTGGAGCGTGGAGAACTCTCATGAAACCACTCAAAAGTGCACACCATACGTACGAGGATATAGGATTGGTGATCAGTCTAGGGTGGAAGAAGAGATACCACGATTGTTTAACAGACAAGTGATCAAAGGATCGGCTTCACTTGTCTCTTTGATGAGTTGTTGTATGGTGCTAAGAATGGAGATATTTACTGACGATGCCGTCTACGATGCCGGTGAAACGTCTGGGAATGTAACACGTCCACGGTCCGACTTTGGAAATGATCATGCAGACAATGGATTTCGGACTAGGTGCGTTCCTTTAAGTCATACTACTAATATGAACAAGTAGCGAAAATAATGTCAAACTACTTCTATACAACGAAAGGAGACTACAACCACACAAAAGGCCACACCGTCTTGACCTTCATACCTTCGAGAATCCTTTAAAGCCTATGTCATACTGGGATGCGACTTAACGGGATTCGTAATTTAACATTGTATCATGATTTTATGGAGGAGATTCTCGTCTCTTTTGCGAAACTATTTCATCGTTGCAAGTCTTGTCGTTCTCCTTTATAATCGCTCATATAGTTCTCTCATATTAACAGGCTTCTGAGAGAGATGAAAATGATACAGTAATCATAAAAAGCCTTGCATAATGGAAGATAGTTGCATTGTTTACTTGCCGTCCAGTGATAGTATGCTGCGCGGTGCAATTTCTTCTAAAATTAAGATGAGCTTTACACATAAATGGTTAGTTCAGCCTTGATTAGTGTTCGAATAGCAGAGTTCAACAAAATTGGGATTTCTTAATTTGGTCAGAAAACTATTTTGTGTATATATTCTAGCACATAAATATTAACCACTTTGGACAAGGCTCCTCAAAGAGGCTTCTGGAACATTCATGGAAGAGAAATAACCTTGTGAAAGCTCCCGTAAGCACAAAATTTAAGAGAAGGTAAATTTTGCATTTTACAACCCGCATAACATTATGTCATTGGATAATGCTATAAGAGTTGCATATTTTTTTTACTATACTCGCAGAGGATTGAGCTCTTTGACATATATAATCACATTTTCAGCAGTACATAAAAAGTAGATATCGAAAGTGAAGCATATAAAGTAGGAAACCTAAACTATTTTGTGTAAACAGAGAAAAGCCCTCTCAAACCCAGTTCAAATCAGTTCCTTTGTGTTTTTTAATTG